GATTATGAGTTTGAGGTTAAACTTCGCTATATAGCCAAACCTTGTTGATGGATTGGCAGGTGGGTAGGCGAGTAGATGGGTGAATAGGTAGGTAAGAAAGTGAGTGGTTAACCTCGTAAGAATTTAGAAGACCACAATCTGGGAGAAAATAGATGCAAAAAGTATATCCAAGTAAGAACTATTATTCAAAATACACAAAAAAATTCCACCCCTACACTCCAGTGGTTCTTGGGCTCAAACCCAAGATGAGCCCAGGACTTTATACATGGCCAGACATAATTCTGTACCACTGAGCTGTATCCCAAGCCACAGAGAACTCTTAAAACTAAGTAAGAAAATAAAAGTTCTGAAGAAACATTTCATCAAAGAGGAAACAGATAGGAAACAAGCACAGTCAACATCACGTCACTAGAGAATTGCACATAAAGCAAGGATATGTTGCTCGTAGCTGTTAGAATAGCTTTAAACCTATTATTTTATGTGTATGATTATATTGCCTGCATGTATATAAGTGCACCATGTGCATGTAGTGCCCACAGATGCCAGAAGAAAGTGTTGGATCCCGTGGAAGTGGGGTTACCAACAGTTGTTATCTGTCATGTATATGCTGGGAATGGCTACACATGTCTTTAATCCCAGTACTCAGGAAGCAGAAGCAGATGAATCTATCACTTCAAGGCCAGTTGGGTCTACATAGTGAGTCCCAGGCCAACTAGGGCTACATAGTGAGTCTGAGTCCTCCCTCCCACCCCCCCCAAAAAAGGTTCACTTGCCTAGCATATGTAAGGCCCTGGATTGGATCACCAGCACCATACAACAAAAAATAACAAAAAGTAAGGCAGGTGTGGTAGTGTATGCCTATAATCCCAGCACTCTGTAGACAGAGGCAGGCAGAACTCAAGGCCAGCCCAGACTACAGGGAGACCCTGTTTCTTTCTTTTTGTTTTTTTTTAATATCTTATTATTTTTATTTTATATGTATGAGTGTATTGCCTGCATGTAGGTAAGTGCACCCATGTTGTGCAATGCCCATGAGGACAGAAGAGGCCGTCGAATCTTCTGGAACTGGAGTTATGGACAGTTGTTAACTGCCATGTGGGTGCTAGGATTTGAACCCGGGTCTTCTGCAAGAATAGTCAGTGTTCTTAACTGCTGAGCCATCTCTCCAGCCCCGAGATCTTTTTTCTTAAAAACAAATGAGGGTAAAATTAGTTGGGGTAGTGGCATGCACCTATAATCTTAGCCACTCTGGAGGTGAAGGCAGAAGGATTGCTTGAGTCCAGGAATTTGAGATAAGCCTAGATAATGTATATAACAAAACCCTATCTCAAAGGAAAAAAATTTAATTTTTTGATCTTTATTTTGTATGTGTTCCATGGAGTGCATGTGGATGTCAGCACACCTTGCAGGAGTCCATTCTCCTTCCATCATGTGGGTTCCAGGAATCAAATTAGATCATTAAGTTTGGTACCACCACCCTCACCCTCTTGAACTATATTGCCAGCTCGAAAAAGTAAAATGTTTTAAAAGCCCATTGGCCAATAATCTTCAGAGAATAGTTGTATTTAAAGGAAAAGATTCAGTCATATGACCTGCTTCAGGACAGACTACCTGTGGGCTACTAAAAACCTGAGAAGCATGAAGGTTCTACTTAGATGAGAGTTCTAGTTAATAAATAAAGGAGTGATTAGCCAGGCATACACTTGGAAGGCAGAGGCAGCTGGGTCTCTATGAGATCTAGGCCAGTAATGAGAGTATAACTCCCAGGAAGCTTCCAAAAAAGGGAAAGAAAAAGGCCATGCCTCTGTATTTAATTGACAGCTTATGGGAAGTGCTGTATATCCTGTGTGTTTAGGAAAAGGGGACATGTTGGATTATACCCTAGGAATGTAAGCAGGAAAACCTAGAGCTGGACTTGATGGTGCACATTTGTAATCCCAGCACTAGACAAGGATCTTGAGTTCAATGCTAGCATGGGATACACAAGACCCTATTTCAAAACTCTAGTTAGAAAATAAAGGCAAAATTGCCTTGCCTGTAAATAAACTACAAAACAAAAAATGGCATAAGAATGAAACATAATTAACATAAATTAGGACAGTATTGGTTAGTGTTACATGTTAACAGAGGAGGCTGGATAGATGGCTCAGCAGTTAAGAGTGCTTTTCCAGATGACCCAAATTCCATTCCCAGCACTCAAATCAGGTAGCTCACAACCACCTGTAAGTCCAGCTCCAGGGAATTATGACCACCTTGACCTCCATGGGCACCTGCACTTATATGCCCATATTCACACTCAGACACATACATAAACACATAATTAAAACTAAAAAAAAAAAAAAAATCTTAAGGCCTGGGCTTGGTGATATACTCCTTTAATCCCAGCATTCCAGATCTTTGTGAGACCAAGATCAGCCTGATCTACATGGTGAGTTCCAGGCCAGCTGGGATTACAGAGAGACCCTGTATCAAAAAGAAAAAAAAAGAGCAAAAGTTCTGCTTCACCAGAATACACAAATAGGAATAGATGTTCAACATTCTGTCATTCAGAAACTGCAAATTAGAACAATAATAAAAGCCCGGAGAGATGGCTCAGTAGTTAAAAGAACAATTGCTCTTGCAGAGGTCCTAGGTTCCCAGCACCCCCATGGTGGCTAACTACCATGGTCCATAACTCCAGTTTCAGGGGATCCAACACATCTTTTGACCTCCTTGGGCCTTACATGACACAGGTATACTTACATACATGTAGGCAATACACTCATACACATAAAAATAATAAACAAAAAAAATTTTTAAAGTTTTATGTTTATGAATGTATTGCCTGCATGTAAGTGCACCTGTGTGTAAGAGCAATCCTTGCTTTTAACTGCTGAGCCATCTCTCTCCAGCCCCAGACACATAAAAATTTTTTAAAAAATAAATAAAAATGAGCCGGGCGTGGTGGTGCATGCCTTTAATCCCAGCACTCGAGAGGCAGATGCAGGCAGATTTCTGTGAGTTTGAGGCCAGCCTGGTCTACATAGTGAGTTCCAGGCCAGCTGGGGCTATAGGGAGACCCTGTCTCAAAAAGGCCAAAAAAGAAAATAAATAAAAATGAATTTCAGCAGACATTATGTTTGGGAGAAGGATATTAGCTTTTCTTTTTTCTTTTTATTTTATGTGTATGCATGTATGGCTGCATGTGTTAAGTGTACTCATATTGTGCAATGTCCGTGAAGGACAGAAGAGCCATCAGATCACCTGGAACTGGAGTTACGGATAGTTGTTAGCTGGCATTGGAACCCGGGTATTCTGCAAGAACAGACAGTGTTCTTAACCGAGCCATCTCTCCAACTCAGGATATTAGTTTAATCTTAGAGTAAGCAAGATGGTTCAGTGGCAAAGGCACTTTCCACCAAGCTTGTCAACCTGAGTTCAATCCCCAGGACCCACATGGTGGAAGTAGAAAACTGATTCCCTAAAGTTGTCCTCTGACCTGAACTGGCACTGTGGCATGCACTTGCCCACCAGTCCCTCTCCCCCACTGAATAAATGTAAAAATAAATCCTCTGAAAGTTCATTGTGACCATTAACATTCTTGCCAACCACTAAAAGAAAGTGTATAATTCCCAAGCCATGAAGAATATAAAAAGAGTGAGAGGCTGGAGACAGAGCTGAGTGGTAGAGCACTTGCCTAGCCTTCCTGAGGCCCAGCACTGCCAAAGAAGATAAAGGAGAGCTGGGCATGGTGGCCTATGCTTGTAATTCCAGCATGTACAGAGGCAGAAGCAGGATCTGCTGCAGGTTCCAAGCCAGTCAGGGCTACTTGTAGGTCTTGTCTCAAAACCCAAATGATCCAGAGAAAGAGCCACTAATTAAGGAAAAGGAGACAGCTTATGTGAAGCTCTGTAGGAGAGTACTCACCTGGTATGTAGGAGACCCTGATTTCCAGGGAGGTGGGGAAGGTCTGGTGAATGATTTATTTTCTTCCCAGCACTTTCTTCCCAGGGAGGCAGAGGCAGGTGGGTCTCTGTCAGTTCGAGGACAGCCTGATCTACCTAGTGAGTTCTAGGATAGCTGGGGCTACAGGGAGACCCTGTTTCAAAAAAGACAAAAAAATAAAAGATCTATTGTTAGCCGGGCATGGAGGCATACACCTTTAATCCCAATCCCAGCACTCAGGAAGCAGAGGCATGGCCATCTCTCTGAGCCAGCCTGGTCTCCATAGTGAATCCAGGCCAGCTGTGGCTACAGGGAGTCCCTGTCTCAGACAAAAAACAAAAAAATACTTGCTTTTATATGTATGTGTGATTGCATGCAATTTTGGGGGGTGCCCACAGAGGGTGAAGAGAGGATGTGAGATCCCCTGCAGCTGGAATTACAGGTGGTTATGAGCTGCCCATTGTGAGTACTGGGAACCAAACAGGTCATCCTTAAGAGCAGCAAGCACTCTTAACTACTGAAACATCTCTCTCTGGTCCTCTATTTTCTTTATTTTTCAATATAAAGATTAGTTTAGAAGAAATGTATGCAGGCCTGGAGAGTTAAGAGCACTTGCTGCCCTTGTGGAGGACCTAGGTTTGATTCCCAACTCCCACAGGGTGGCTCACAGCCACCTGTAACTTCAGTTTCAGGGTATGATGCCCTCTTCTGGCCACCATGGGTACTGGCACACATGTGACCCTCATACACATAACATAATAAATAAATCATTTTTTAAAAGAAGAAATGTGGGGCTGGAGTGCTCAGCAGTTAAGAGCACTGACTGCTCTTGCATAGGACCCGGGTTTGATTCCCAGCACCCACATGGCAGCTGCGAACCGTCCTTAACACCAGTTCTGGGGGAATCCAAAGTCCTCTTCTGACCCCCGCGGCATTGCACGACACGGGTGCACTCACATACATGCAGGCAATGCACTCATACACATAAAATAAAAATAATAAATAGAAAAAATATATATATATAAAAGAAATGTGTGAGAGTGGACATGAAGAACTATTTTTCTCTTCCCTTCCAGATTAAAGAAGAAGGAGTTTAGTTTAGAAGAAATATACACAAACAAGAATTACAAGTCTCCTCCTGCCAACAGGTAACTGTGTAGCTGGATGAAAGAGAGGAAAGAATCCTGGACTGATTTATGAAGATCTCATTTTTTTCTCTTCAGAAAGGAGTTTTTGTTCTATGCAATGTTGAGTTGTAGAAATAATTAGAATTGGTGTTTTTAATTCCCACCCCTTGAAGTGGAGCCAGTGATAGGCCAGGAAAGAAATGTGTGTGGGGTTAGGTAGATGTAGAAGCAGCCTGTTGACTGCCAGACACTGCTGGCTGCCTCTGGGTTGTTCATTACTAGTTCAAACCAGTTTGAGCCCAAACACAGAAGCAGTTTGACTTCTATCTATGGTTCCAAATTCCATTCAAAGCAATGACTTTATTTTATGAGAGTATTACCTTCTTGCATGTAAGTGCACTGGTATCGTGCAATGCCTGAGGAGGTCAGAAAAGGGTGTTAGATCCCCTGGAACTGGAGTTAGGGATGGTTATTAGCCTCCGTGCTGGGAATCGAACCTGGGTCTTCTGCAAAAGCAGTTAGTGCTCTTAACTGCTGAACCATCTTTCCAGCCCCAGCAATAGCATTTATTAATTGCCTCTTTTGTGTAGAAGAGTTCTAGTATTTTATCTCAGAATTTTGTACCTTTGCTCTGACGCTAAACATTTATTTATTCAAGATCATTCTTTGTAGCATTGTTAAATGATAGTAATGTATTAGAAGCAAATGAAAATATCCATTGCTGGGGTGCTCATTCAATTTTGATCCATCTTTGTGATGGAATATATTGAAATAGATCAATTCCAGGCTTGCCCCAAACTCCTGGGCGTGAGTAATCCTCCTCCATCAGCTTTGCTAGTAATTGAGTTATAGGTTCATACCACCACACTTGACATTTTTTTTTCCTAAACCATGCTGGGGTTGGAATCTGGAGCATCATGCATGTTAGACAAAGGAAGGCGGAGGCCAGATGTCATTGGACCATTCCCAGGAGAGAGTGAGCATTCCTGAGCTCTAATTCTACTCAGCAGTAGAATTAAAGGACCCCTCTTCACTGAGCTATAGCCCTAGCCCCCAACTTTTATTTTGTTGATTTTTTTTTTTTTTTCTTTTTCATGGCTTGTGTACTAATAGCTTGTTCACAAAAGGAAAACCAAAAACGAATTTGTGATGGAGTTTTTAGGGCTTGCTATCTAGAGCCCAGTACGGTAGAAGATGTCTGTGATCCCAGCACTTGGGTGTCAGAGGCAGGAGGGTCAGGAGTTCAGGGTCATCCTTGGCTACATAGTGAGTTTGAGTCCCAGCCTGAGATACATGAGATCCTGCCTCAAAACAAACAAAAGGTTTGCCATCAGCCTTGTGTATATGAGGGCTGGTGACCCATGTGAGTCATCTGATGGTGATTTTGGTTTGTGTTCTATCCTCAGGTGTTTAGAGACTATCTTTGAGGAACCCAAAGAACGCAATGGTACACTGATCTCAGTCAGCCAGCAGAAAAGGAAGCGAGTTCTAGAATTTCAGGATTTCACGGTTCCTCGAAAGAGAAGAGCTCGAGGTAAAGTGAAGCTGGCAGGAAGCTTCACTAGGGCCCAGAAGGCAGCTCTTCAGGCTCGAGAGCTGGATGCTCTTCTGATACAGAAGCTGATGGAACTGGAGACTTTCTTTGCCAAGGAAGAGGAGCAAGAGCAGTCAGCAAGCTGTTGAGAAGTAATTTGGGATCTTCCTTTTGAATCTTTTTCAGACCTCACTGGAAGAGGTTCCCTTATTTTGCCCTCTGCCCAAACCATTCATGATGCCCAGTTCGTGAATTTTTACCATTTCAGGTACAGTCTTTTTAGAAACTAGTAAAGTAGGGTCCTCTAATTCTACTGCTGAGTATAGACACTCAGGAATGCACCCTTTCTCCTGGGAATGGTCCCGAATGACATCTGGCCACCTCCTTCCAGTCCCAGCCGTCCACAGGAGGAAGAAGGAAGTCACGCATCTTAAGCAACACTAGGATTCCAAGGACTCATTATTTGCATGTCCACATGAAAGTTGCGCTTTGTTTATGGTGGTGCTAGACCAAGATTACTTAGAAACTGGCCTGTGGAGGGGGGCCTGGCCTCTTGTCCTGTGTGATTTTGTTTCAGTAATTGAGAAAAGATGTGTTCTGATCCTTTAATGCTGTCTGCCCAGGGAGAGAGAGAGAGAGAGAGAGAGAGAGAGAGAGGCTTTTTCGTATCTTTTTCTCCCATCTGTGACTGTGGGTCACTAGTGCCAGAGGAGCCTGTCCAGGCCCCAATGTAAGTTGCACTTTTTAATGTTGTGGTGTTGATTATTTTCATATTTTCTTTTTTGTTTTGTATTATTGCTGCATGTTTGGGGCCTTTAAATGTGATTTTAAAACATTTTTTAAGACATTAAGGAGAAAGACATGTCTTAAGACATGACAGGCATTTGACCCAGTTGATCAGCGTGTGGAGGGAAATATCCCTATTCATGTGTTTCAGGTAGTCCCTCCTCATCTCCAACTTCTCAAGTAGCTCATTAGCGGAAGCTCCATTTTCATCTGCCTTCTAAATCCTACCCACTAAGTATATGTGTTTGTTCGGTGACAGATTTCTCTTACAGTCATTTTAAAAAATAATTAAGGTTGAATGTGATTTTCTTTGAAATGTTGGCATGTGACAACGTTGGGAACAGTGATGATAGACACTGGCCCAGAGCATTTGCAGCTGCTTGAGTGGCCTGCTCCTACAGTGGGACACTTTTCCTGCATGACCCCGAAATTCCACAGCCAGCCCTCTCTTGAGATTGCCTCACGTACTCTGGTCCTGTCAAACCTATTGGAAATGTTTGCTGAATGCCAGAAGTAGTGCAGTTTCTAGGTTTGTGCCTGCAGGAATCTGCAGGCAGCAAGATGCGGTGTCTGGGCAGCAGGCCCACAGGACTCATTTCTTTCCCACCGTATGCCCTTGCCACACCTGCCTTCTTGTGGTTTCTCTTTCAGACATCTCCCTCTTTCCCTCTCTCCCTAGTTCTTTCCCACCCCCTTCAAAAAGAATTCAGAGAGTCAGTTAGCATTCCTTGGCTGATGAGTGAGAGGCTCAGCCTTAGGACACTAGTCACTTCTTCCCATCCTTAGAAGCAGCTACCAGTGGAACATCAACCTCCAGGGTTGTTTCTCAGTCTGTCTGTAGAGAAGAGCAAGTGTACTGTCCTGGAATGTTGGCCAACTCTCCTATGATTCTTTCATTCCCCATTCGCTAGTGGATGGAGAGATGGGGTGTGGGTTGGAGGTCTCCATGTGCCTTTGCTTTGTAGGTTGACAGGCTGTGCCATGCTGGAGCAGAAAAGCTGACATGAGCAGGGAAAACAGTGCCATGTCCACCTTCAGGCTCACTGCCTGAGATATGTAAATGGTGGAGCGCACACCTGGTCATCTGTGGCAACTTCAGAGATCATGGCCTGATAGGAGTTGAAGAGGGTCATTGTGCCCACTTGTTCTGAATGAGGCAATCAGGTTTTCCTGTTGTGCCTGTATTGCCCAGACCACACAGTTTTGACTGTGCTTCATTCACCTCAATACCTCTCCCTTCTGGGGGCAGGACTCTTAGACACTGAGTACTTCTCTCTCCTTTCACTGCAGAGAATATGAGATGAGTGATACACTGTGTCTGTATGCAAATGTCTAGTGAACCCCCACTGGAGAGCCTGCAGGCTAACAGGAAGTAGACAGAGCCATTTACCAGTTTCACTGCCAGAGTACCTGGGGCAGCCAGATCACCCAGTAGACAAAAGTTGAGGTGGACACAGCTGTGGCACCACCACAGACTTTCAGGTTTGCTTATTGCAAGTGCTTGAAAGGCTGGGAAGTGATGAAAACCACTGGCATCTTGGAACAGAGGACTGGAGACCCAGCTCCATCCTTTTCCTGGGAATGTAGGAGAGAAGCTATTCTGAGGCCAACCGCACTTGTCTTGAAATTCTTGGCCAAGTTGTTCTCATTGCAGACTTACCGGAAGTTCATCCATCTGGTTCTAGCCAGGCTCAGCCTCCTGTCTTAATACCTAGTTTCATGCCCGCCTTGGGGCCATCCTTGTTCTGGGAGATGTTGGCGGCTGGCATGCCATGCTACAGGGGGTGTTTTCTGTCACAGGAGTTGATACAGTTTTTGAGGATGCGGACTTTGCACCCCACATGATAAGAAGTTCCCTTTAGGTACAGCTTGTTAACTATAGTTCACCTCCAAGGTTTACTGTTCCAGTGATTATGGGAAAGAGAAGAGAAATCTCAGGTCCAGTCAGGGTTCAACCCGTCTCCTTTTCTGTTTTGGTAGTTTCTAGCTATACCACCCTTCTTCCCTCCCTTTGGCTCATCTTTCCTATTTTTTCTCTTACTCTCCAGTCTTTTTTTCGCCATTCATTTGTATGTACCTCATCACTTGTTATAGCAGATTGTATCTACCTTTTCCTGCTGTCCCTACTCTTTAAGAGCGAACTGAGAGGGAGGTGCAGTGAAAAGGTACGTAGGTTTGCCTTACCTGGAGCCTGAAGAGCTCAGAAACTCATGCTGTGAATCCTAAAACTGTGCTCCTCCAAGAGCTGTGAAAATCCTGACCTTTTTTCACAATTTTGCCTGCAAAGGTCTTGAGCGAGAGCTCCAGAGCCAACCTAAGGTCAATTCAGATCCCACTCTGAATGCCCTTCCCCTGGGGCTTGTTCTGCTGCTCACCAGGCTTAGAGCAGCAGTAGTCTTCAGGATGTGGCAGCTGGTCCAGGGCTGCATGCAACTGAGTGGACTCGGCCCTGCCTCCGTCTCCATGCTGGGGCTCTGTCTCCCCTGTACCATGTGCATTAAGATCTGTGGAAGACCAACTTTCAGGCAGCAATGCTTTTCTCCCAGTCCCTGGGGAGAGGGGAGTATGCAGTTGGTGCTTTCTTTAATGCCCTTGTTTTGTTTCTGTAGCTTTTCCCCTGGTATCATGGAAAGGACCTTTTAAATGACCACGTTGTGGGTGGCTATATCCAAAGCGTAAATATTTGGCCAGAGGTGTGGTGTCCTCACCCAGATTCATATCAGGAGAGGAGGGCTCCTTGTCTGAACTGAACTTCTCTATTGAACTAGCTAGCAAGAGAGAATAAATTTTCCTAAAATCACAACTTACTATTTTAGGAAAAAAATTTCCTAATCATAGTCCCATCTAACCAGATGTTGAGCAGCAAAAGTTACCATGATTATGAAGTGGGAGTGCTCATAGCCTGCCATCCAGCACAGCATGCTTACACTGATGCGTGTTCTGCCTTTGCAAGCCTCCATCTGGTGCTGGATTGGATTTGAATTGTTAGCAAGAGGACTCTGCATCTCCTTGAGCTGGGGTCTGGGCCAGTAAATAGCTATCTCAAGTGTCTCTATATTATCATGGTTAAGAGTTCAGTAAATTTGTACATCTTTGGTGACGCTGGTATACGTGACGCCCCTACAGTTCCTCTTCTGTTTGGTAGTTTGTGACTCTAAATGCCCACTGTTAAGTGTATTAATTTATGAAAATAAATTTTTTTTGAAAACCTTTCAGGTATCTGTCAAGGCTATTATTTTGTTATCATGGCTTGGTTGTAGTTTAGGCTTTTACCTGTAACATTACAAGGCTTGGTTTTGGGGGGTTTTGTTTTGAGTTTTGGTTGTTTTTAAGTAGAAATTCCAGACCCCTCAAGTATTATCTATTCCAGAGTGGCTACCCTTTCCCAAAGCCTGCCCCGTGCTTATAACTTAGGCAGAACTCCACCTTCTGAGGCTGCGTCAGTACTTGGCAAATGTGCTCAGTGGTGGTCAGTCATCTCTTCATCCAGAGAAACCAATACTTAGAAACTAGTCTTTTAGAGCTGAGTCGTACCTAATTGAGTCACGACCAAGTATTTTAGTTGTGATTTTTGTTTGTTTTTTGAGATAGGATTGTTTTTTGAGACGGGGTATCACTGTGTAATCTCACATAGCACAAGAGGAGAAATCTGAAGTCCAGTTAGAGTTCTGCCCATCTCCTTATAGTCCAGGCTGGTCCTGAACTCATGAACCTCCTCTCTTAGCCTACTGGAAGTATAGGCACACTGCAGTGGGCTAGGTACAATTTTTAATTAGTGCATTTTAGCCAGGTGTGGTAGCTCATGCCTGTAATTCCGGTACTGAGGCAAGAATAGTCTGGACTGCCACATGGTTCCAGGTCAGTCTGGGCTAGTGTGAAAGCCCTCAAAAAACAAAACTAAATTTGTAAATAGGGCAACTTTCTTTCCCATATGGCCGAGGAATCAAAACGTAGTTGTAAATGCAAGTGAAAATATGTTTTGTATATTAACACTATATTTAAAATCAGAACCCAGCTTGCTGAGAGCAGAAATCCAGTGGGCTGCATTCATTTACTTTTGAAAAGGTCTCATCCTCCATCTATTTGGGGGATGACTTGAACAGCTCACTGAATACAGAGAAAGTGTGATTCTTCTTAGGTGTATTTCCTCTGTCCAGAATAAAAGCAGTGCCTGTTTTCTGCCTGACATGATGTACTTCTGCTTGCTACATGTCACGATTACTCAGGAAAGAGCCCTCTCTGCACCTTTTCAAGTAAGATAGTGTTACTGGGTATCTCCCATCACAGAATCTTGACATCAGTGAAGCCTTCTGGTTAGAGGGCTGATCCTGAGCGAAGATTCCTCCAACTGAGTCTAGATGGCATGTTGCCCTTTTGAAAGAGGCATTTCTGTAATTCTGGGACTTCTTTTTTTAATATTTTATTTATTGTTTTGTTTTTTTGTCTTTTTTTGAGGCAGGGTCTCCCTGTAGCCCCAGCTGTCCTGGAAGTCACTATGTAGACCAGACTGGCCTTGAACTCACAGAGATCCACCTGCCTCTACCTCCCAAGTGCTGGGATTAAAGGCATTTGCCACCATGCCCAGCTTTATTTATTATTTTTATTTTATGTGTATGAGTGTGTTTCGTTCATGTATGTAAGTGCATCCCTATGATGCAGTGCCATGGAGATCAGAAGAGAGCATTGGATTCCCCTGGAACTGGAGTTACTGGTTGTTAGCTGCCATGTGGGTCCTGGAAATTGAACCCAGGTCCTCTGCATGAGCACCCAGTGCTCTTAAGCTCTGAGCCAGCTCTTCAGCCCCATGGAACATCTTTTTCTAGAAAAGTCCTAATTCTTCAAGTTCCAGGGCAGTGGGTGAGTTTTTCTTAATGTCTTTCTTAAGCCGCCAGCGTTCCCTTTGTCTTCCTCTGCAGCTGCTGTGAACAGAGCTTCAGTCTGGGCCCTAGCCATTGTGGAGCAGAGGGGGCATTCTCTTATGCTCCTCGTGCAGCCTGCTCCTGCCTCACATTCCTGCATGGTTACCTTGCTCACTTCAGATCTTTCCCCATCACTCTTGAAAGTGCTCCACTGCCACTCCATATCCCCTAACCAAGGCTTTTTATTTGGTGTCACTACTATCTCCCCATCTGTGAGTAACTACTGTGAGTAACCCATCAAAGATTATGAACATAATCACATTGTTTGATCAAGATGTCAAAAATCTCAAAAAAGGCAGGGTGTAGTGGTGCACACCTTTAATCTCAGCACTTGGGAGGTAGAGGCAGGTGGATCTCTGTGAGTTCAAGGCCAGCCTAGTCTACCTAGTGAGTTCCAGGCCAGCTGGGGCTACAGGGAGACCCCGTCTCAAAAAAAGACAGAAAAAAAAAAAAAAAAGATCTCAAAAAGAACTCTAGAAGTAGGCAGGTTCAGCCTCATTTAGCAAGTTGCTTCACTTGTCGGTGGTGCTACAGATCAAGTGGTGGAAGTATAAGGAGTAAGAATGGTACATCTATAGGTGCAGTGGCGCACGCCTTTAATCCCAGCGCTTGGGAGGCAGAGGCAGCTGGATCTCTGTGAGTTTGAGGCCAGGCTGGTCTACATACCAAGTTCCAGGTCAGCTGGGGCTACAAGGAGGCCCTGTCTCAAAAAGAACAAAAATAAGTAATTATTGGGCCAGGCGCACGCCTTTAATCCCAGCACTGGGGAGGTAGAGGTAGGCAGATCTCTGTGAGTTCAAGGCCAGCCTGGTCTACATAGTGAGTTCCAGGACAGCTGGGGCTACAGGGAGACCCTACCTCAAAAAGACCCCAAAAAAAAGATGCAATTGCAATTCTGAAGGACAGAAAGTCACAAGATCTAATGTACAGCACAAGGACTATTGATAATCTGCCAAACCAGAGCAGTTTTTTTTTTTTTTTTTTTTTTGACTCTCACAAGAAAACAGTTGAACTTTATTGTTAGGAAGAACCCAGCTACAAATACAGGTATGAATGCAGAGGGAAAAATGTTAGTGCCACTTGAATTTATGCATTTCTCAGTTATATAAAACAACAAATTAGGAATACAAAATTGCTGAAAACAAACCAACTCAGCTTTACATTCTTATGCACATTTTGACTAATCACAGATTATGGAGACTTGAGAGCAGGAGGGAACTTTGGTCACCCCATTCCCTTGTCTAGAGACTCACAGAGAAATGAATTCCTGAAGCTCACAGGACTTTGGAGTCAGAGCAGGGCTAGCAGCCAGGGCTGTGAATACCCAGGAGCAGAGCAGATTTTGAGTACCAATAACAACCAAAAAGGGAGTCACATATGAGATGATGAGGTTTTGTTTTTTTTGTTTGTTTGTTTTTTTTTTGTTTTGTTTTTTTTTTGTCTTTTTGAGACAGGGTCTCCCTGTAGCCCCAACTGTCCTGGAACTCACTATGTAGACCAGGCTGGCCTTGAACTCACAGAGATCCACCTGCCTCTGCCTCCCAAGTGCTGGGACTACAAGGTGTGTGCCACCACGCCAGGCTGAGATGATGATTTTATTAATCTGCTGGACTGTACTAATCACCTCAGCATATGCATCAAGACAAACACACCAAAACACATTGCTGGCAAGCACCTTTACCCATGCAGCAGTCTTGCTGGTCCCAAGATGATGGGGTTTTTGTGCAAGTTATCCTTACTATCATGTCTTGATGGCTCATTTTTGTTCATCATGGCATTCCACAGTATGAATGTATTATAATTTATTTGTCTGTAATCTTGCTGACAAACATTTCAGTAGTTTCCAGCTTTGAAATCTCATGAATGTACTATGCATTGCTATAAAAATAAAACATTCTAGTAGATTCTTCCCTCTCTTCAATGCCTCTCCCTTCTGTCCTCTTCCCTTCCCTCCCCCCCCCCCTTTTCCCCACCCCTATGCTGAGGATTGAATGCAGGGCCTTACAAGTACTCTACCTCAGCTGCTTCCAGCATTAAAAAGAACATTTTTAAACATCTGTGTGTGTGCGTGCGTGCGTGTGTGTGTGTGTATGTGTGTGTGTGTGTGTGTGTGTGAGTGTATGTGCATAGAGCTCAGAAGACAATTTGTGGGAAGCAGTTCTGGGGACTGAACTCGGGTTTTTAGGCTTGGTAACAAGCACCTTCACCTTATCCTGGCCCGCCTCCATTTAAAAATATATATATTCTTTTTATATGTATGTGTGTATTGCCTGCATGTAGGTAAGTGCACCGTGTCCTGCAATGCCCGAGGAGGACAGAAGAGGCTGTTGGATCCCCTGGAACTGATTACAGTTGTTTGCTGCTATGTGGGTGCTGGGGTTCGAACCTGGGTCTTCTGTAAGAACAGTGAGAGTTCTTAACTGCTGAGCCATCTCTCCAGCCTCCCATTTTTTTTAATGGGGAAAAACTTGAGTAGGCACTTCACAAAAGCAGATGTAGCTAGTATGTGAAAATGTGCCTAACATTATTAATCTGGATAATGCAAATTAAAAGCATAATGAGATAACATATTGTATCCACCACAATGGCTAAAATTAACCTTGTCAAAAATGTGACCAGAACTTATACGTTGTTAATGAAGTATAAAATGGTACAGCTGGATACAGCAATCCCTTCTGCATGAAATAACTACCATCGTCATGACTTCAGCTGAGCCTGATGGCTAAACATAGTCACAACTGGACTTGTTGACTGGTGTGCTCATTCATTAAAGGAGTGCCAGGCAGGGTCACTGGACCCTCACCTGAGTATCTAGCCACTCTTCCCAACCAACTAGTCCAGCCTTGGAAGACAAAAGAAAAATGAGGAAGAACCCAATAGAGGGATGCTTTTGGAAGCCCTTGTCAAGAAACTCCAATGGACTCTCATACGACCATTTGAAAATTGCCGTTTGTTCTGACATTTTTCTAGTTCCCTGTCTAGAACATGTAATGCTAATTAATTACTCTTGCCTTTACTTTTCCTTCACATCTCCTAGTCATGATTCAAGGACTTTCTTTTCCCCTTAGAGACAAGAGTTATGCAATTTGGGAGTCTTAGATAGACCCACTGAAGGGGTACTCCAGTTCCCTCACCCTGCATCCCTGTTCAGCATGGGAGAAGCCAGAGCGGTCTGTGTCCCTATTCTCTATTGGCAATTTGGGTAACCCCTTCAGAGGATGTCGTGATAAGAATAAGAGGTAGGAATTGGCTAGGCAGTTAGGGTAAAAAGACCACAAAGAAATGTAGCAGTTT